TATGAAAATGGAATTGAACCATTAGATATTCAGCAAGGATGTCTCGGAGATTGTTATTTTTTAGCTGCTTTAGCTTCTTTATCAGAATTTCCTGAAAGAATTAAAACTATGATTAAATCATGTGGAAATGGAAAATATGAAATAACATTTTTCTATATGGGAAAAGAAAGACATATTGTTATTGATGACTTAATTCCTTGTAATAATGGTCAACCATTTTTTAGTCATAATAATGGAGATGAATTATGGGTAATGTTATTAGAGAAAGCATATGCTAAAGTTGTTGGTAGTTATGGAGAAATTGAAGGAGGAATTCCATTTTTAGCTTTAAGTGATTTAACTGGAATGCCAGTAAAACGTATATCTACTAGAGAAACAGATGTTAATCGTTTATTTAAAAAAATTGCAGACTACGATAAAAAGAAATATTGTATGGTTGCTAATGTACCTGACACACCTGGTATTGATCTTGAAAAAGAATATGGATTAGTAGAAAATCATGCATATACACTTATTGGGGCTTATGAAGTAGATGGAATTAAATTATTGAAAATTAGAAATCCGTGGGGATGTTGTGAGTGGAAAGGTAAGTGGAGAGATGATGATCCCGCTTGGACTGAATCAATGAAAAAGAAATTAGAAGTTGTTGAAGCAAATGATGGAATTTATTTTATGGAAATTGGTGATTTTGTTAAATTCTTTGATGAACTCACTGTTGTGTTTTATAAAAAAGATTGGGATTGTTTCAACAGTGTTGATGTTGAAATGACTGACAAGCAAATGGCTATTAATTTTGAAGGAAAAGGAGAGTGTATTGTCTCAATATCACAACCTCGTTATGATGATAAGATTGCATTTAGAATGTGGGGAATAGATGATAAAGATCAACCTATTGGAGGTGATTCTGGAGAGACTTTTGTTATCTCATCTAATCTGTGTGGTAAAAAAATGAAGTTAGGAAGTGGAAATCATCGAATGATTGTTGAAACACATCAAAGTTGTGTGAGTAAATTACCATTTAAATTTACTCTTTCTTTTAGGTCAGAGAACAGTATTAAGATTGGTGCTGTTGTTGGTATTCCAGCCACAGAAAAAATTAATTATATAACAAAAGAGTCTTCAAAGAATGCAGAAAAATGTAAAGCATGTGGAGCACCATTACCAGCAAAAGGAATAGCCAAAACTAAAATTGGATCGTTCCATTTAAAATGCTTTAAATGTGATAATTGTGGTAAACAACTTGGAGGAAAATTTGGGTTAAGAGGTCAAAAGAAATTATGTCCAGATTGTGTGACAAAAAAATGAGATCACAATGATATTTCTTGTTATCTCAAAACTCTATTTACATCAAAAATAACATAAAAATAATTTATTTTGTGTTATTTTGAATTTTAGAAATTTTTATAAATAAAATAAGGTAGAAATACTCCAACGAAAAAAAAAAAAGAAAAGAGCCCTTAATTTTATCAAAAAAGATGATTTTAAAAAAAGGAAAAACAAAATAATCAATGAAACGAAAAAAAAAAAAGAAAATAGGAACTGAAGAAAAAAGGAAAATATCGGGAAAGATAAGAATAATAGGGAATTAGAGTTGAGAAAAAAGTAAACTAAGAATAAATCATATTTAAAAATAAGACAGAGGATGTCTGGAGTGTTAAATAGATATGGTAAACGAGAAAACAGTGCACCTATGGCTACTCTATTCTTTGCAAGATTAGGGCCTATGATGAAAGAAGAAATATTAAAAAAAGTATGTAACCAATATGGAGAAGTAGATGAAGTAACAATGGTTTGTGATAGAGAAACAAAAAAGAGTAAAGGGTGTGCATTTGTTAGTTTTAAAACACCACTTGAAGCACAAAAGTGTTTCTCTAATGTACCAGAAATTATCAATGAACATCATTGGATTATTGAATGGGCTAAATCGACACAAATACGAGATTCAGATTTAGATAAAAAAACATTATATATTACTGGACTTCAAAATTGCAATGCTAATGATACAAATGTTTATGATCATTTTAGTGTTTATGGACTAGTTGAGAAAGTAACTGTTGTTGGAAAAGGTTTGTTTTTATAAAATATTATAATAAAAAGAAGAATAAAAAATTGGTAAAATAAGAAAGAAGAGTAAATAAAAAAAGAAGAAATTCTTTGAGATGAATTTTACGAATAGTTTTATTTAGTAACAAATTATTAAAATTGTTTTCAAAAGAAAATTCAATATGAAAATATTTCAAATATTTACATTTTTAGGAGCTGATTTTCCACCATATGCATTTGTTAAATTTACTGATGAAAAATCTGCAGGATTAGCTTTAAAAAATGAAAATGGAAAGTTTTGGGATGGTGGACAATTAATAATTCAATATAGTGAAACACTTGAGTCAAAAAAAAGTAGAAGACTTCATAGAGTAAAGCAGACAAATAAATACATGGAAATTAAAAAAGAACCTTCAACAAAAAGATCACTTAAAGAAACTTTTGTTGATGATTCAACAGGTTCTTTGACTCAATCATTATTAATGGCACTTGGATCATTTACGTCATCAGAGTATTTAACTAAAGGCTATAATGAAGAAGGATATGACGAAGTTCTTGTAAGACCAAATATTAAAGATATAAAGAAAGTAGACTCACCTTTATTAAAGAATTATGAAAAACTAATTCATCAATTGGATGATGATGATAATTCATCATTAACTGATGCAACTGAAGATGATATTCTTAACAAACATACATTTTCATTTTTAGATGATGAAGTATGGGGACCTTATCAATGAACAGCCTTTGTCTGTGTTTTTATTTATTCAACAATATCTTTTTTTATATTTTTTTAATGGTTCATTTCAAAATTAGAAAAAACCTTTTAATTATTGTTATTTGTTCTTTCTTATTAATAATTTATATAGTTTTTTTGAAAAACAAATGGTATTATTAGTAGAATTTTTATAGTTTCCTCATTGAAAATAAAATTATGAATATTGATTATTTTTAAAGATATTTAAAAGAATTAATAAAATAACTTAATAAAAAATTAAAAATTTGAGGTAAATCAAATGGAAGAAATAAAACGGATGGTATGTTGTTTTGTTGGTGCTTATGGAGTTGGAAAATCATCAATCGCTAAAAGTTTTGGAGAAGGTAATAATGTTTTAGTTCAAGATCCTACACTAAGTGAACGTTATTTAAGAACATTTTATATAGATCAAAATATGATTTATATTGATGTTATTGATAGTCTAACAGTTGGAGGAATTACGTGGATAGCTGAAGAGTTAAGGGTTGATGTTATCATATGTGTATTTTCTCTGGGAAATAAAGAATCATTTAGTACAATGAAAAAATTACAAAAAGAAGTTGAAGGGTATTTAAAAAATAAAGTTATTTGGATTGTTTGTGGTACTATGGCGGATTTACCAAAACGTATTGATCAAAATGAAATTTATAAATACGTGAGAGAGTTAAACTCAAAATATTATGAAATATCACTTTTACATCAAAATATAAATATTGTATCAATTTTTATTCAAGCTGCTTATGATTGGATTTTACAAGGTGATAAAGAAACAGATTCAGGTTGTATTGAGAAAGACCATTGTACATATTTATAATTCTTTTTATTATCTTTATTTAACCTAAATTTTATTCTTTTTGAAAGGAAAAATTAAACATAATTTAATTTTGCAGTTTGAGATGAAGACTTATTTATTTTTTATGTAGAAAATATTATTGAAAGATTAGTTTTAATTCTCTTTATATTATGTTTTTTTTTTTAGACTGAGTTTTTATTGAATGATCTTTATTAAAATAAAATTTGTGTGATTTAGAATTTTGAGGGTGCTGTTATTTCTTAAAGTTTTTTGATAAAATAAATAACAGAATATAAAAAAGTCATCTTTTTTTTATAAAATTAGTAAGATTCTATATTCCTATTAGTTTATTATATTTTGTTATTTGAGAATGTAGAAGTATTATAACATTTAATTACAAACATTTGAATAAATAAATAATATTATTTACTTTAATAATGTTAGTGTTATACTCTCAATGATTGGTTTTATACAAAAGTTTTATAAGCATAATTAAATTAGAATATAAGAAAGAACAAAAAAAATTAATTAAATGAAAACAATTCCCAGAGTCAAATATGATTTAAAATAAAAAATATCACTTTGAATCTTATTTTAAAGAAAATAAATAATTATGAAAGAGAGTGTCATTGAATAAGAAAGAGAGTTATTCATAAGTTTATATTACTCAACTTAATTGGATAATTCCATCATAGAAAAAGAAATAAAAACTAATTAATTATAATTTATGTATTTTAGTAGTTGTATTTTGTTGAAAAGTCTTTTGGTGAAAACACAATACCACGACCCCTTCTTGCTCCTGTATACACACACTCGATAATAGTAATTAAATCCTCTTTATTATTAATAACAAAATTAATTTTATTATTATTTCCTGTTCCTAAATCTACTTGGATGTGTTTCTTCCTGTAAAAAAACATTACAGTAACTGGGTCATATAATTCATACATAACATTAAAGTCAGGAGTTTGGTCAATGTCAACCTAAAAAAATTAGTACTATTATTCTTATTATTATTTAGTTTCTTGAAATAATCAAAAAAAAGAACAAACAACATAAATAACAGCCATTCTTGAAATTTGTTCTTGGATTGATGCCAATCGATGATCCATTTGCATACATTCAGGGTCATAGTCTCTTCCAAAACGTATGATCACAACCTTTTCTTCTTCAGCAAGAATTGCTTGGTCAACTTGCCAGGCATTACGTAGATGAATTAATGAATCAGCCATTGTAAATTATGAGTTCCTAATTTTTCCTTTCCTAAAAAGATTTGGAAAAATAGAATCTTATTAGGTTTGTGAATTGTCTTTACTTGGTCTTAAATCAACGTACATTTAATGTGTTATATTTTAGTTATTCTATACAAATATTCAAATATATCTTATTTAAAAAAAAACATTAAATAAATAATTATTTTATAAAGTTTTTAATGTTTTGATGCTAAGCATCCACATAAATATATTTAGTCGCTCTTTTTATTTATTGGTTATTATAGTCTTATTCCAAGACTCATTATATTCATCATAGTTCTGAATTGCTTGAACTGTCTATTGCCAATTTACTTTAATAATAATCAAATTTTATACTAATGACTAACAGTTGTATTATTAAATTAATGTAAGTGCATATGTGAATGAGAAAAGTTTATATGTTTTTAAGGTTTATGAATTTCTTATAAATCCAATGTTTTTATATTATTTGTAGTATAAGCCTTTTTCTTATAGAGTATCTTAGTTTTATGCCTAATTGTTGTACAAGATAAGTAAGTTATTTAGTGTGCTAATAGTTATAATGTTTTTTAAAAGTGATAATAAAATTCATTCATAAATGTTTATGACGGTTTTTTCATTCGACCTTTTTCAGAGTTTTGTATAAGATTTAATGAAAAACAATTACCATCATAGCTATATTAATACTAGATATCTATCAGTAATAAGTCTTTAATTCTAACATAAAATTATTTATCTTATTATTATAAGTAATGGAAAGTACCTAATATTGGATTATTGTATATACTCTTTGTTTTGTTTTATAGAAATTATTTTGTTTAATTTATTTTTATTAACCATTAATTATTTGAGATATAGAACATACTATGATTTAATATAACAATATCTTTTCCCTGTATCACAAGAATTTCTAATAGTATCTCAGTTAGTATATTAGAATTGTCGATGAAGTTGGGATTGATAAGAGTATCATTATAAGTTTTGATTTATTTTGATTAAATTTATATTATTATTATTATTTTCTTGGAACTATTATGTTATTAGTTCTTTTAATTTCATCACATTTCTTATGGTATGTATATATTTCATATCTTCTTAGTCCAATGTATGTGATCACTTTTAATTTCAAAAGTACATTTATCAATGAATTTAGAAATATTGTTATATACTTTTTTGGTTCATTAGAATAAATAATTAGTATACAATAATTTTTATACCAATTAATACTTAACCTATTTTATTATGTTAAACTTGCTAAGGTACTGTCAATAATTCAATTATACTTCATGTTCTCCTATTTTATCACTTGATATAATCATTTTTATACCTCTGTATTTGACTTATTATAACTATTCTGACTCAACTTCTTAGAGTTTGGTTATAATTACCTTTTAATGCTTTATTATCTATAAATCAATTAATCTTCATAATAAATTAAATAGTTTAAATTATTTATTGAGAAGTGTATTATGAATAGTTAATTATATTTTATTCGTCTTAAGTATTAGAAATTTTTTATTGAATACTATCACTTTCTGAGTAATTAGCTACTAATTCTTATTTTTGTGATGGAGATTTAACTTTAAATTGATAGTAGGCTAGTTTCAGAATAGTAATTTACTTTTCTGATTATTTTATTTGATGTAGTTTATTTTACAACACTACTTTTGTTTATTATCTTGGTTTCAATATTATCTTTAACGAAATGAGTCTAACTCAATTATGAACTAAGCCCAATTATAAAAACTTTACTAAAAAAAAAGGCATATGTAATAATAATTTATCATATTTTGTAATATTTGATTATGTAAATATAAAAGATTCTATTAAACAACAAAAAGAATAATTAAAATAAAACAACATTCTTGTTATTAAAAACATTTCTTTTTATATGAGAAAAAGTAAATAAATCTGAAAACAACAAATTGATGATCATACTTATTCTCTCCATTCTTTTTTATCAATGCAATTCACTCAGAGTTTATGACCAAACTAGTGTTGATGGATTAATTCAAAATAATAGCTATGCTATTGTATTTTATTCAGTGTCCTGGTGTATGCATTGTAAAGAGTTAAAACCAGTAATGGAACAACTTGAAATAGAAGAGAAAGCAATTCATCCAGAGTTACCAATAGTGAATGTAGATTGTAGTAATAATGATTGCAATTATAACCAGTTTCCTATTGTCAATTTTTATCGAGAAGGTATCTTATTTAGTTCCTTCGATGGACAAAAGAAGGTCTCAACTCTTCAACGATGGATTGTACGGTGTATGTCAGATTTACTGAGTAAAATTGATGAAGATGATATTGAAGACCTTCAATACGAGAACGACGTTTTAATTGCTATACAATTTAGTAATGAGTCAGTTGTTAAAACGAATTTTAATTTTTTGGAACGAGTATTAAAGCCATATTTTACAGAAAGAACCAAATTTGTGTATTACATTAAGTCGTATGAAAAAGATATGAAAATAAATAGTTATGTTCGTTCAGTATTTGATCCAACTCATTATGTAAAGAAAACACTAAGTATTAATGATGTTGGAGATTATCTTAAGTTCTATCTTATTCAACACATGACATATCCATATACTAAATATTCACCAGAATTAGAAAATAAAATGAGATTATATGAAGCACATTACCTTATTGTTTATGCAACAGAATTTAATGAGGGAATTGTTTCAGCAAAGGCATTAGAAAAATATTGGGGAAAATTACTTGGTTTTTATGTAGCACTAGGTTCAAATAATGTTGGAGAAAGTATTTATGGAAAGAATATTCAAAGAATGTTTCCACAAACCAATCACATCAGAATTATTACAAGTAATGAACGAATTGTTTATGAATATTTTGGTAACTGGGATGAAACAAGTGTTAGTGAGTGGGTTGACCAAGTAATGAATAATCAAATAAAACCAACAATACGTTCAAGTAAAATTACTCAACAAGATCCTCTTATTAATGAGCTCACAGCAGACACATTTGATAGATTTATAAATCAAGACAAAGACATTTGTTTATATGTTTACCATAGGAGGTTGAGTAGTAGTTTTTCATATTTTGCAAAGAATGCAAAAGCCCTTGAAAAAATTCCAACTATTCAATTTGGAAGTATTGATATTTCTACTGAAGACGTAATGGTTAATATGACATTTAGAATTATGCCAACTATTTTAATGTTTAGAGGAAATGACCATAAACCAATTGAAATATCGAGTGACGGTGATGGTAATGGTGATGGTAGTGAAAAAGAGATAAATCAATTTATAAGAAAAAATGCGTTCTACTCAATAAATAAATTATCAATGTATAATTTATTTGAAACCCCAAACCACTCATATCATAAAGAGTCATATCCATTAGAACATTACAAATCTCAATTAAAAGAACTTTAAATGAGTTAATTGAAAACAAATTATATTAAATAAAAAAAAAGTTAAATATAAAACGAAAAGTACAATTAAAAAATATGGTTTTGATACAGTAAAACTATAATGAAACCGATTACACAAAGAAGTATAAACATCCATAAACATAATGAAGGAATATAAGTTGCAAGATGTCTTTTTTTATTGACATAAATTGAATGGAAAAATATTTCAAAGACTAATGTAAAGTCATTCCAATTTGATTTCCCTTTATACTTCACACTATTTAAAATATCTACACAATAATCATGGCAATTATCAATAATATATTTGTGCATTACATGTTTCCATTTTTTATTTGCTTTATCAATTGCTTCTTTAAAGTCATTATCGTTTATCCCTTCTCCATAAATAATTGGAAGATATCTAAAAACAATAAATATTCTTTTCTTCTTCTTTTTTAACACTTCATTGACTAACAAACTTAAATGTTCTTCCTAAAATAGTTTGTTTACCTGAGTGTATAATGTGAGGAAAACTATAATCATGGTGTACGCCTTCCATATCACATATTGCTGTATGTCCAATAAATGGAAAAAACCACCTACAAATGAGAATTAATTCTTTTTATTAATACCCCCTTTTTATTTTAAATAAAACAAACGAAATTACTGGAATACTAGTCCAAGTAAGACAACAAGGATAAAATTCATGTTCAATATCAACTTTGGAAGACGTCATGAACTAATAATATTTAGTATTATTTGAATAAAACTAAAAAAAGTCCAGCAAAAAGAAATTGATGAAGAATTAAATATTTTAAAAATATAAAATATTCCAGAAAACTATTTTTACAACCCTGATTCTATATTTATTTTTTATTTTTGTTTGATGTTTTAAATAACAAACTTTGAATAACATTATTTATTGAGTTTTAAATGAAAACTCAGTGCATTAAAAAGGGAGAAGTATTACAATTTAATATTACTACTTTAAAGAAAAGAAACAATACAATTACTTGGGAATCCTATCAAAGAGTTCAACATAATAATCCTGACTTTATTAGAGTTCTTTTGAAAAATCAAAATAAGATTATTTTTGAAAAGAAATATAGAGCAGTTATTAATCAAGAATGTTGGGGATTTATTAGTTGTTTATGTAATAAAGAAGATTGTACTAATCAAAAAATTAAAGAAATTATTCAAAATAAATTACAATGCAAAGAAAGTGATATTATTGAATTTCATTTAATTAAACAAAATATTTATGCAAATCCTGATGAATGTAACTCAAAACAATGGATAGTTATTTGTACTATAAATTCTCATTTTTTGAATGAATTACAGAAAAATGAAAGATATTTAGTAGTGGATATGAAAGATTTAAACTATTTATCTAACTTTGAAAAAACATCAATAATTCTTTTTGATGAAGAAGTGTTTACATTTCTTTTTCATTCATTTTATCTTGAATTTGAATAATAGAATAAATAAATAATTTATTATTCTGATTTTCTTTTAATTTGTTCCATTCTTCTTTTATACTCTTCAATTTTATGAAATGTATCTTTAATATTTTCACATATCTTAGCAAATTCATCATCTGGATAAATTAGTAATGAAAGATTTAATGAAGTATCTTTTTCAAAATATGATGCCAACTTGGATAACTCTGTTTTCTCAGATAATAATTGAAATCTTGAATATACACCACTAGGCAATGAATCTAATAATGCATAACTTCCAGTTGTATCATCCATTACTGAATCTACTTCTTTCTTTATTAATACACTTGATGGAAGAAATAATTTTGCTTGTGGATTATCTATAACGTGTTCTAATAAATTTTTCATTCCATCTTCTTTTCTTTGTTCTTCATATTTACGGTCAAATGGAAAGAAGTCATAAGGATGAATAAACATATTTGGTGGATATTTTTCAACAAATCTTACTTGTGCTAACTTTAATACAATTTGTAAATACCTTTCAATTACTGCATCAACTGTTAATCTAAACTCATTATAGACTACTAATCTATCATGAATTACTTCCCAACACATTCCATATTGTTTTACATATTCCATTAAATTATCTGTTGTTGATCTTGTCCATTCTTTATGTTGTAAATATTTCTCATACTCTTCATTAGTATACATTTCTACTCTATTTACTTCAAGAAAATGTTTTTGGTTTTCTAGTATTTGTAAACTTGTTTGTGTTGGTAATGGTGCTCCAACTGTAAATGAAGGAAGAATTGCTTTATTAGACATGATTTGTTATTAAAAACACAAAATGATTTTTTAAGTTCTTTTTTTTTTTGATATCTCGCTTCTTTTCATACTTTTTATAATCATAATCCGTTAAAATTAAATTCTCTGAATATAACTTTTATTTTACTTAATCTAGTTATTTTTAATGTCTAAACCCATCACAGCACCTCAAACACCTAGCAAGTCTTCACCTTCTCTTTTATTAAATAGGAATACCAGCACATTGACAATGAGTCTAAACCAACCACTTTACACTTCTCCTATACTTCATAACTCACTCACTAACGAAACCAAATTCAAAGAAGTTGTTGAAGTAATAGTAAATCCTAAAAGAGTAGAAGGATATTTATCTATTAATACTTTAACCGGACATGTTTATCTTCAATTTCAAAGTATTATTCAATCAGAAATAACTGGAGGAACTCCACAAAAGAAAAAAAGTCCATTGTATTATTTTAATTTTTGTATTGAAGACACACCATCGTATAGTATAGCTAAACGATTGATAGAAACAGAAGTTCGTTTTCATCCTGGTAGACAATTGAATATTCAATTGTATCCAATCATTTTTAAACGAGACTCTTTCATCTCTTTTTGCGATACACTAAAATCAATAAATGTAATAATGAATGATGGGTTTATAAGAACCGAAAAAAAAAGAATTCCTTATGAAGTTGATGTTGGAAAATATATCAGTCAACTACAATATGATGAACAATTAATAAAAAGAAATTCTTGGATTAAACAAATTCGTGCTGATTGTACTGAAAAAATTACACAAGAGACTCGATGGGATAAAATGAATCAAACAAATGTTAGAAAAGCATTGTTTTATAGAGGAACAAATGAAGAGTGTAGGTGCGATATATGGAAAAAATGTCTTGGATATAGTTTTGAAGAAGAGAAATATTCAAAATTAACAAAACAAGTAGCATTGACTATGGACATTCAAATTAATCAAAATAAGAAATTATCAATTCTCTGGAAACAAATTGAAAAAGATATTGTTAGAACTCATATTACAACAGCATGTTCTAAGAATTGGAATTTAAGTAAAAAAGAAATTGAGAGTATTGTTAAGAGATTATTAAAGTGTTGGACATTATATAATTTTGATGGAGGTTATCAACAAGGAATGAGTGATATTTTAATTGGATTAATGGAATATAGTAAATTAGAATATGAAACATTTGGATTATTTATTAAAGTAATGGAAATGATGAGTTCAGTATATTTAAGGAATGAAAAAACAGATATTTATATGAGCCCCATTATTAAGGTTATTGATCCAGATTTTCATGGATATTTAAAAATGGTAGGTATTTCATATTCATTTATGTATAAATGGATTATATTATTATTCAGAAGAGATTTTCCACATTCGGCATGTGTCAGATTGTGGGATGCAATTTTTGCATATCCAGAAAACAAGTTATATTTTTTTATTGCTGCATCATTATTAGTTCAACATAAAGAAATTATAATGAAATATAGATTTGAATTAGATGACATATCTATCTTCTTTCAAGAAATGGAAAATAAATTTGATGATAACATTTATATTGATGCTGATATTGCTGTAAGTTCTTTTAGAGTAAATGCCTCAGATAAAGAACAATTACTTGTTTTTAGTTAATTTGACTAAAATAAATAGAAACTAATTTAAAATAATAGTTTGTATTTCAAAAATTAATTTAATCCACTTTCATTTGATTTAAAATTCTCAGAAAGAACTTCTTCAGCATAGTCATTAGATGAATCAAATTGTGATGTCACTTGTTCGACATGAGGTGTTGGTATAAATTCACTTAAACTTTCATCATCACTAAAAACTGAAGAATCATCAAGACTACTATCTTCCTAATAATAAGAATTAAGTATAAATAAAATAATAAAGCAATTAGCAAACTTCTTGTGCTAAGCGAATTGCTTGCTTTAAGTTATTATTTGATTTTGAAAGAGCTACAGTTGCTTTGTGATAAGGAATTCCTAAATCTAACATTTCAATAATCATATCACTTTCATCCATTGTTTTCCCATCTCCTTTAATTAAGTAAATAAGTGTTGATCCAGAAAATATGTTTGCTTGTGAAAAAGTTAATGAATCATCGATCCGTTTATCATGAAAATAAAGAACTATCCTATCAAAATTAGTCATTCCTTTCGGACCAATTTGTGACTTAATGGTATTAATAATATCATTAGGTTTAAATTCATATAACACTGAAGAATGTCTGTTAGTTTTTAATGTAAGTAAAGGCATAAACTGTAAATTCTTAGTTTCATGTTTTTTTTTCAACTTGTTTATGAAAGAATCTAAAAAGGAAGTTAGAAAAAAAAGTTCAAATTAACTGAGATTTAAATGAATACATTGAATTCTTTTCTTTCATGTAATTACATTCTTCTAATATTGCTTCTCTATTTGTATTCATTATCAATCCATCACATACAATTGTATCAATTACCCATAACGCATCATCAATTCGTGAAATAATCTATTAGTAATTATTACTGTTATATTTGAACAAATAAAAAACAGTGTAATAAAGACAAACATCAACCTCACATGCGTTGTCAAATAAAAGGTCATATATTTGAACTAGAAAATGAATAAATTCATAAATCGCTAATTCATTTTCTTCATCATCAAATCCAACAATAACAAAGATTGAAGCAAATCTTCTCATCACAAACCGATGGTCACGACATTCATACACAACATTCTATAAAATAAATATTTTTTTTGTTTATTAAAAAAAACAAACACTATGTTCTGATGCAGTAATACATTTACGATAAATCTCATTACATAAATTTGTTTTATCTCTTTGAAGTGATTCATCGTAAAATCTTGACAATCTCGTTTGACCTGTCCTGTTGATAATAACAATATATTTTAACATTAAAACTTAATTAAAATTTTAAGTTCTTTCTTAAGAAAAAAAGGAATTTTAAATAAAATTTCAATAAAGTTATTTATTATTCTTAGTGTTCTTGATGAGAAGATAGTAAAGGTAGTGTAGAAAATAATTGAACCAATTTTCTTATTAACAACAAAATTCCAGCAACTATCATAAATAAACAACAAATGAACCCTTCTATAAATTCTGAAGGTAATAAAGAATAACCAGCAAAATGAGCAATAAACGTTCCAATAAATAAGACCAAAAATGCAATACCAATATTTTTTAATTTGTAGGCAATTGGACTTTCTTCTTTAATTTCAGTTTGAGAGGGTTGTTGTTGTTGTTGTTGAATAGAAGTATTTTGTTTTTGTTGACGAATAAGATCTTCTTCAGAGATTGGTTTTTCTTCAATTTTATCAACCTCACCAGTAATTAAACTAAATCTGTCTTGGTTGTTATTTAAAATACGAAGTTTTCTTCTTTGTAGGATAGTGAGGTTTGTTTGATCTTGAATTGGTTGTGTATCAGTCATATCAAAAATAATAATAAGAAATTTTTAGTGTTTTATTAAAAACCCTTTTTAAGTAAAAAAAGTTACTTTTAAATTAAATTTATTATTTTATACATAAAAAGCAATCAATCTAATTCCATTGTGTCATTGATTTGATTCACAGCTAAGATTCCAGTTTCTGTTGGTTGAACAGTTTGTGTTTGCTCATCAATAGTAATAAACTTCATTTCTTTTAATTTATCAAAAACAGTTTCAACAAGACCTGATAAATAATTTGATATAATACTCATTTCTCGTCCTTCAACAAAATAATAACTTGGGTTACTTCTTATTCTTCTATAAAAGAATGTACTTGTTAATAAATTAATAGCACTTTGATAATCAACAATTGTTTGATTAGCAATTTCAGTATTAAATAATTGAATTAAATTGTCATACATTTCATTTCCCATTTGAATTAATCTACTTTCTAATGGAAGAGATTCTTCTAAAAATTTACTCAGATACTCTTTTTTATTTGGTTCACAATAAATCATAACACTTCCATTTTTAATACACCCAATAAATTTATGAATCATTTCTAATTCAAGAACTTTTTCATTTGATTCTGATTTAATTGTTCCCATTAAAATTCCTTCATCTGCTTGTTCTCTAAAATATTCAATTTCATTAAAAGTTAAAAATATTGTTTTAATAATACCTTCTCTAAATAAATTTTTTATAACAATTTTTTCTTCTTCATCTTCTCCATTAAATATAATTCCAATTCCACTACAAATACCTTGAATGGCAATTTCATTTTTAATTTTATATTGTTTAATTATTTCTTCAATTTCACTTTTTGGTTCAACTCTTCCTTGATTATTAAATTGAATTATTTTATTTTTTTGTAATAAAAGAATAAATTGTTGGACTGTATTTAATAATAATTTTTTACTTGGAACTGTAATAACACTCTTTTTATTTTGTTTCCAATAATTAAAAAGTAATTCAATAGTTGGTTGAATCATTGCTTGAAGTCTCATCGAATATTCAGTTTGTTTCATAATTTCTATTTGAACATTAATTGGATAAACTCGAGATTTCATTGAGAATGAATAACAATTATTTTGTGTAACACCTAACCACTCTCTCATTGATTTACTGTCACTAATAGGTAATGACAATCCAATAATTCTAATGTTATTTTGATATTCTTTTTGGATAGTTTTAATTCTTGATATTAACATTTCATATTCAACATCTTCTCCTACTCTTTGTAAATCATCAAGAATAATAATTCCAATAGACCTAATTATATTTCCATTTTGTTTCCAATCTCTGAGGTATCTTTCTAAGTTATGAACACTTGCAAGAATAACTTGTACATTTTTTAATTGTTCTTCAACCTCTTTGTTATCTGTTTTCATCATTTCGACTGAAATGGATTGATTTTTCATTTCCAAATATAACAAATCTCGTTCTTCATCAAAAGGCATTACATAAATAGCTCCTTTTCCATTATGCTCTTGTATATGTTTCAATAACCCCATTTCTGCAATAACCGTTTTCCCTGAACCACTATGTGATGCAATATACAACGAATTATTTGTTTCAACAACAGCTTGATATAATTGTGTTTGAAGTGCATTAAATAAATCAAATGAAAATATTTTATAATTAATATTTAATGATTGGTAGAACGTTTGTGTTGGTAATAATGCCATTCCTAATAATTCACTTGGTGATGAAACTTTAGTTGGTAACACTAAGTGTCTCAATGATACTACTGATGATGTAGAACATTTTAAATAGGAATCACTAATACAGTATACAAAATAATTAAATGGTAATGGATCAATTAAAGGAACAAAAGCGTTGAGGTGATGAATTTGATTTGATTTGGTTTGTTTGAGAATGAAGTATTGATAGTATAAGATGTAATCTCCATTACCATCTAATACAATAATCCAATACCCTAATGATGTTCCATGAATTCTATAATCATAATTAAACATTGTTTCAAGACTAACTTTAATTTGAAGTAAAGTTCTATTAATTGGTTGAGATATAGTTGATATATTTAATAAAGGAAACGAATGAACTATATTATATAATGCATTTCCTTTTGTTGGTAATCTAATCAATTCTCCTAATTGAACTGAAGTTAGATCGAACAATCTCTCAAACGGAAAATCAACTCGTTCTAAACGTTTACAAATGTCATTAGGGACACCTGGTATTTGTCTAAGTGGACATTGACTATTAAATAACCTTCTTGTAACAGATTTACAAAGCTCTAATGCTTTAAGTGCTGGTCTTGCCCATCTTTTAATAAGTAATAATTCAAATAATGCTCTAAATATACGAGCAGCATTTTGTGAAATAAAGATAGTGTCAGAGGCTAATACAAATCCAGGAAGTGTTAGTCTTCCAATATAAACTTGCAATAATACACTAATTTTACATGATGGATCTTCAATAGTTGATTTAATAGGAATAGGGACTTGATTTAATAAAGTTTCAAGTTCTATCTTTTCAGTCTCTCTAATTGAAACATATTTAAATTCACTTGACTTAGAAAATATATTCATTAAATCAATTTCACTTGACCCTTTCTTAAGTGATTCATTCATTGACTTAATTGTTTCTGTTGTTAAATAATAATAAGATGATATTCTTCCTAACTCAGTTGCATTAATTGTTCCTTTTCGTTTATCATAAATAGCTAATCCATTGGCATGTAATAATGATGCAGCTGTATGAATAAGATCTCTTCTTCTAGACTCTAATGTGGGGTCATTTGTAAAGTCATTTGGTTGTAGTCCATAAAGTAATGGAGAACGTAAAATACAAATGTAATAATATGTCATTGTTAACCATTTAATTCCATCGTCAATATTTTTGATATTTCCTATTACTACTTCAGCATTTAAATTATCAACCAATGACCCAATAAATTGTGACTCAATTGGTAGTTGTTGAGACAATAATGACATATAAAAGAACATTTCTCTTTGTGTAGTTATAATAATGCCAGTCCCTTCTTTATCAAATTGTGGTCTTCCAGCTCTTCCAATCATTTGCATAACATCCATAGGACTTAATTCTTCCCAACGCCCTGTGGGTGGTGAATATATTTGTGTTCCTTTAATAATAACAGTGTGTGCTGGTAAATTAACCCCCCATGCTAATGTAGCAGTAGAAACAAGTACTTGGAGATGATTATCAGCATATAAATCTTCTATTAATCTTCTGTCCTCTTTATTCATTCCAGCATGATGAATACCAATACCAACTCCAATCAACTCCTTTAATTCTTCATTATCAAATTTCTTAGCTTCTGATAACAAAACTTCTTGACTTGCTCTTCTGTTTTGAAGAAAACTATGAAGACAATTTTCTTGTAATGCCATTTCTTTAATATATTTAGCTGTTTCAAGAGTGTCTTTTCTTGAATGTACAAAAATTAATACTTGTTGTTTTCCAGCTGACTCTTTGACCTTTTGAAACGTTAATCTATTCATTATCTGAACTTGTTTTAATGGTTTTTTATCTGCAACTCCAAAAAATGTTTGTTGTAATGGAACTGGTCTATATTCACTTCCAAAAACAAAAACATTTTCTTTCTTACAATTAAGAAATATGCCTACATCTCCACAATTAGGTAATGTTGCACTTAACCCAACTAGTCTAATATATTTTGAATTAGACTCCATAAACAATTTTATTCTTGCCACTAATGCTTCCAATACTGGTCCTCTTGTATCATGTAATAAATGAACTTCATCAATAATCATTACTTTTAAATATTCAAATATTCCATGTCCACACCCACTTCCAAGTCCTCCAATTTTTCTTGTAATAACATCAATCTTCTCTGGAGTTGCAACAATAACATCAGTTTCTTCTAATTCTTTCTTTGTTAATGATGAATCTCCTGACATTTCAGCTACCTTCATTCCAAGATTCTCTAATTTACCTTGTAAAGTTCCAACTATTTCTTGTACTAATGATTTCATTGGTGCAATATAAATGATTTTAAATTGTTCATGAGTTTCTTTTGCTTTTTTAACTTCATGGAGAATAGTTAAAAGTGCAACTGTTGTTTTACCAGCACCTGTTGGTGCACAGACTAAAACATTATCATCAGTTTCAAAAACTGTAGGATAGACTGTTGATTGCATTCTATTTAAATACTTCAATGGTGTTAATGACCTTTGAGCCCATTCAGGTAAACTAGAAATTGATATTAAATTAGTAGGTGGAAGTTGTTGATTGATAAATGGAATATCGACTTGGGTATAATCAGGTAAATCAATTCTTACTGTGTTTTCTGGGAATATTGCTTGTTGATTAGAAATAAAATGATTTCCTCCTTCAAATATTAATGCATTCAAATCTAAAGTCCTCATTGTACGTTGTATTTTTTTCTCTTCTTCAATTTTTTGTATTCCTTGTTTTTGACTCATTGAAAATTTTATTTGTGAAGGGAGTTTTTCTCTAATAGCTTCTTTAATTTCTTCATTGGGTGCTCTGGCAATAGCAATTCTTCCAATTATTTCTTCTCTATTTTTTGCTAACATATCAACAATACCAAAATTTTGTTGGCCTAATAACGACATAATTATATGTTCAACACTTCCATCATCAAGTGAAGTATTTCCAAGAACTTGTTCAATTTTCATTGCATACTCTTGAGCAGTATTATCATCTTCAACAACTCCTTTAATGATCCTTTGTAACCAAAATGCATCTATATTATCAAATTGATTATTTTTTGTTTCGTCTTCCATTACCATAGGGTTGTTTATGTGAAGGTTTGTTTCCTCATCCTGTTCTTGTTCTTCTTGAATTTCATCATCACTGTATCCTAGTCCCTCTTCTTCTGAATCATTTAAAATTGGAATAACTTCATCTTCTCCTTCATTATTATTTTCATCTTCTACTTCCTCTGGGTTATCTGTTTTGATATAGTCAGTAATATTATCTGCAATTTGAAGCATTTCTGTAAATTCATCTTCTTTAATTCCTTGACTGATTTCTTCTTTTAATTTCTGATATTTTTCATTTGCAGTAATATCACTTTTAAGTATATCTAATATGTCTAATGTTGCTGAACGAATAAATTGGAATGATTTATCACTGAATATGTGTTGAACAACGGATAATAATTTGGCGTGTTCTTCTTTAGTAGCCTTAGTAGTAGGGACATACCCTCCAATTTCATCTAAATCATAAACCTTTTTATTTCTTTTAGGAATGTATGGTTTCTTTAGTTCTTCATCAATATCCTTTCTATACTCTTTTAAATTCTTTAATATCTCTTTCGGGTCAGTCCTTTGTGCATGATCTCCCATCATTTCTTTAGTAATTTTCCCAAACAATGACTCAGCCTCTCCAGTTGGTTCATCATCATTAGACCTTTTTCCTCTTCTATTACTAATAACCAGATTATTATCAACTCGAGTCCTCCATGTGTTTTTTCTATCAACCGCTTCTGATCCAGTTGGGATTTTTTGAAATTGGTCAACAATATGTGCCATATTTATTATAATTTTAAGTTTTATTTAATTTCAGTTCATACTTCTTTCCTTATGATACTTCTTTTCTACTTTATTGTATTTACCCTCTCTAAGAAGTGCTTGGTCTCTGAAGAAATTACCGCTTCAAAAGGAATAACTACCTTAACATATCCCCCAGTTAAAAACCCAATTGTATCATTTAAGCCAGAGTTAAATGGAAATTATTTAATTTCTAATGAGGGTAACACTTTGAAAGTGTTCCTTGATATGAATGAAAAACAAACTGTTCAGATATGTATTGACCAACAACTCAACGCATTAACTACTCTAACACCCAACCCTTTATCTCTACAATATTTCTATAGAACAGTATTTCCTTTAGTTCCTTTCTATCTAACTATCGTCTATGCCTTTATAATAGTCATTGTTATTTCTATGGCTTTTAGGTTTATTACTGCTTTAGTGTCTTTCTTTACAGACATATTCTGTAATCAAGGAAAAAAAGTATATCAATACTTCGATGCAAACTTTGGTATACTTGAAGATGAATTATTTGCTTTATTAAAAAATAAAGGCATAGTTACACAAGAAGAATATGAACTACTTTCCAAATAATTGTAAATGTTCAGTGTATTGTCTTTCGTTTCAAGGATTTTGTCGAAGCACCACATTTTATCCTTTTAAGCTAATCATGTTCACTTATTTTCTAAAAATAAATTTAAGTGAAGGAAAAGTAATATCTATTTTTAAATTATTTGAAGTGAAAATAACTTAATCAAAAAACTTGTTTTTTTAAAAAAATATTAATGTTATTTAAACTTAATAGTTTTAATTCATGAAAAATTGGAGTTTGTGTATTAATTAATTTTATTTTTCTTAAAAAAAAAAATATTTAAAATCTTTAGCACAAAGAATTGACTTATTGGTTCTTACTGGAGTATTTGTTGGATTAATATTTGGTTTTAATTTTATATTAATATTTTTTGGTGATACACCTATCCACTTGTTTATGTGTTTATTGTTTTTATATCACTTCTTTGAATTTACTTCATCGGTATATCCTCGCCCTTACCAATCTTCATTACATGATTTTATGCTATTTCATTCACCTCCTTTTATGTGTGCATTTGCATTATCAATTATAGAGTATTACGTTGAGAAATGGTATTTCCCAAGTATTAAAAATCACATATATATTAGTATTGGATTTACGTTTGTTGCACTATTTTTCCAATCATTCAGAACTATTGCAATGTATGTTGCTGGTAGTAATTTTAACCATTACATTGAAACATCACATCGTGAAGATCATATCTTAGTAACTAATGGGATTTATCATTATCTAAGACACCCATCGTATTTTGGGTGGTTTTGGTGGAGTATCACAACTCAAATAGTTATGTTAAATCCATTATCAACAGTTCTTTACTCTGTTACTGCTTGGTATTTCTTCTATAAGAGAATTCCTTATGAAGAAAAATGTCTAATAAAATTGTTTGGAGATGACTATCTTCAATATAAACAAAGAACAGTTGTTGGAATTCCATTTATTCAATAACAAAGTAACTAACCTCTTTTTATTTAAATTAAGAATTTATTTATTGTTCATCTTTTAAGAGAGATGATGAGAAACAAGGGGCTTGTTGAATAAAAGCTTTTCTTTTAGGGTCATGTTCATTTTCTAATCGAAGAGCTAGAGCTCGTGCTAGTTCTACTTGGTTTTCATGATGAACATCATCAAAAGCATGAAGAGCCCTTCTCCATCTTCTAACAATTTGGTCCCATTTTCTTTTTGAAACATTACATTCAATGTCAGGTGTTTTTGGGTCAGTAGTTCTCCTTTGGTTCTTTGGAATTATGGCACTGTAATTTTGATATTCAACAGTTCCTTTACCAAATGTAATTTGTTTTTGTCTAGCTTGTTTTCTTTTAGTATCATCAAGACATCCACAGTCTTGTTCAACAAAAGGTTCTGGTTGTATGGCCACATGTTGTTGAAGTTCGTTTTGAATAGAAAACAGTTCTTCAACTTTATCTGTATCAAAGTCATCTGGAAATCCTCTGTTTCCCTAAGAGCTAAGTAAGTGATTTGTTAAAAAATGTATGTCTAATTAACAAACTTCACGTAAGAGTAACAAATAATTCTTAGAGTAAATTAGTTTGACATTTGTCACTTTTTTGTCTATTCCTTGTCTTAAAGAATTCTTCTTAGGATTTGGGGTGAATGGCTTGCTGTCCATTTTGAAAGTATGTAACAATCTTGTTTGCATTCTTTTCAACAATTGACAATTTTCTACAGCACTACATTTGATATAAATTCTTGTGTCCTTTCAACAAAAACAACAAGATGATTGTATCCTGTTACTGATAAGTTACAATCCTATCATGGTAGATCTTTTTTTACACTTTCGCATGGCGTCATTGGGGTTGATGTTTAAGAAGTATTCTTGTAATAAAAAATTATATTTCAAAAAAAAAAAAAAATATAAACAAAAACAAAAAGAAGAAGAAAAAAAATAAGAAAAAAAAAACTGATATTAAATCAAATGAATTCGGTTAACTCTATCCCTATTCCAAACGATGAACTAACACTGTGCCAATTCAAAAAAGTGATTGAGTCAATAAAAAATGATCAAGGAATTATTACATCATTAGCCCAGATGGCTGTAGGAAATGTTATTCATGCAGATTTATATGTTGAAATAATATATAGCGAGTATATAAACTCAATAAATTCAGAAAAAAGATTATGTTTATTGTATGTCATTGATATGATCGTAAAAATTGATGTTAATAGAATATATGTTAATCTTTTTATTCCAAACATCACTAACATTTTCATTGAAACATACAACTCAGCAAACGAAACGATAAGATTGGCTTTGTGGCAGTTATACCTTACTTGGACAAATGTGTTTCCCGCTCAAACTCTTAATCAAATTAGAACTGCTCTAACAATGATTTCTCAAGGTTACAGAAATAGCCCTGCTTTTCAAGTCCGTTCTACACAATTTCAACAGTCACAACCTACTGTTATTCCTGTGTCATACGACTCACAAGGAATTATTCCTATCAATGTCAACACACACGCAGAACCTTTACAAAATGTTTCTTTTACTCCAGTTAGAAGATATAAACAACCAAAACAATACAACTACAATTCTCCTTTAACAACTCCAAGAAGAACACCAAAGAAACAATCAAAACCTAATTCACCAATAAATGTTTCAGTTGATATGTGCGATAATTCTTCGTTACCTCCTTCTACTGATCCAGCTTATAAAGAAACACCTCATTCAATAACAAACTCTTCTGTTTCTACATCAGTTCCAGTTCAAATAATGTCACCAGCACCTACTTCTATTCCTGTTGATGTTCCGATTCAAATATCTCCAATGTATTCACAAACAAACTCAGTTATCACAGAGCCTGTTTCTACTATTCACCAAACAACAACACCCACAACATGTCCACCACAACATGCTCTTGGAGAGGTTTGTCCAATTTGTGGTGGAAGATTTGTTGACATGGAACGTCACACACAATACCATCAAGTTTTGAGTGCATGTGGGGGTTTACAATCATCAAGACCAGAAGAAAATTGGAATAACCAATCCTTCGTTCAACAAGAAGATAATTATCAACAACCGTCATGTGATACTAATTCTTATGTTAATCAGCCATTATTATGTTCCATTTGTAATAAACCATTGATAGTAGTGCAAGGTCAAAACGGTGAATTATTATTAAAAGATGGTGCAATTGATAACCTTGGTCAATTTGTTCACCAACAATGCCTCTCAAACTCTTCAACAACAGCACAAGAATTGTAAACTGTTAATCTAATTTCTTTTTTAATATCTTTAATATTTTAAATAATAGTATTTAAAAAAGAATTAAAATTATTTTTTTTTAATAATCTTCCTCACCATTTCCATTATTTTGATTATGATCATCATCTCTTAGTAAATCACTCACTAAATTTTGAGCAGTATTGGGTTGTTGAGAAGCTGAACTATTTCTTTGGTTAGTTTGTTGTTGTGGGGCTGAATTGATTAGACCTCTTGATTGTTTTAATGTATTAACAAATGATTCATACTTTCTAACATCTTGATCAGAAACAGACCGACGAGCAGTTGTCATAGATTCTTCGAAGTGTTTTCTAGTAATAAATGGAACAGGATCTTCTACTATATCAAGTCCACTCTCTTGAATTTCAATTTCTTTTTTAATACACTCTCTAATTGCAAGTTTAACAGCTCTTTGACAAATAGCAGTAAGGTCAGCTCCAGAAAATCCTTCAGTAGCATTAGCAATATCACGAAGATTTACATCTGGTGCAACAGGTGATTTTCTTAAATTAGCTTGTAAGACTCCTACACGTGCCTCAAGATCTGGCAATGGAATATAGATTAATTGGTCAAGTCTTCCAGGTCTCATTAAAGCTGGATCAATAATGTCTGGTCTGTTTGTTGCTCCAATAATAAATACAGTTTTTGCAGAACTCATTCCATCCATTTCAGTTAATAATTGATTAATCACACGATCACTGGCACCAGAATCACCATTATTTGCACCTCTAGATTGTGCAATAGAATCTAATTCATCAAAGAATAATACACAAGGTGCTGCTCCTCTAGCCTTATCAAAAATATTTCTTACATTTGCCTCAGATTCACCAAACCACATAGTTAATAACTCAGGACCTTTAACAGAAATGAAATTTGCTTGACACTCATTAGCAACAGCCTTTGCCATCATAGTCTTACCACATCCTGGTGGTCCGTAAAACAAAACCCCTCTTGAAGGTGGTTGGCCATATTGTTTAAATAACTCTGGATGAAGGACAGGCCATTGAACAATCTCTTTTAATTCACTCTTTGTTTGTTCAAGTCCTCCAATATCTTCCCATTTTACATTTGGTACTTCAACAACAACATCTCTAATAGATGCTGGATTAACCTTTTGTTGAGCAGTACGGAAATGTTCCATTGTGACTACAAGTGATTCAATTAACGAAGCATCTATAGTGTCATCATCCCAATCAATTTGATCAATCTTTTCTCTAATACACAACATTGCTGCTTCAGTACATAACTGTGCAATATCTGCACCAACCATACCATGTGTTTCATTAGCAAGAACATCTAAATCAACATCATCTGCAATTTTCATTTTCTTTGTATGAATTTGAAGAATTTCTCTTCTTCCTTCAGTATCTGGAATACCGAGATCGATTTCTCTATCAAATCTACCAAATCTTCTTAATGCAACATCAATTGTATTTGGCCTATTAGTAGCAGCAATAACAATAACTTGACTACGAGCCTTTAGTCCGTCCATAAGAGTTAATAGTTGTGATACAACACGTCTTTCAACTTCACCTCCAGACTTATCTCTTTTTGGTGCAATAGAATCAATCTCATCAATGAAAATAATAGCAGGTGAATTCTTCTCTGCTTCTTCAAAGGCTCGTCTTAAATTACTTTCGGATTCTCCTGCCATTTTACTCATAATTTCTGGTCCATTGATAAGGAAGAAAAAAGCTCCAGTTTCATTGGCAATAGCACGTGCAATCATTGTCTTACCACATCCTGGTGGGCCGTATAATAAAATACCACGTGGTGGTTTAATACCAATATTTTTAAATAGTTGTGGATGTCTTAATGGTAATTCAACCATCTCTCTGATCTTGTTTAGTTGTTGTCTACAACCTCCAATATCATCATACCCAATATCATTAGGTCCTCCTTCTTCTTCTCTTTCAAGTGGTTCTCCTTCACAATGAATTTCAGTCTCAGAAGTAACTAAACAGTATGGTCCTGGTGTTAATTCTACAACTTTAAATTCAACAGTTCTCATTCCTCCATGACACTGAATAACATCCCCTTGAGTAACTGGGATATACCCATTAGCAAAATAAGGTCTAAGAAATGGGTCAAACAAATCTCCTGTTAACCCTTCAATAGTGTCAATATAAGGAAGTACATGAATAGCTTGTGCATTTGGAACATCTTCAATTTTATGAATAGTGATAACGTCACCCAATTTAACACGTAAATTATTACGAGTAACACGTGATGTTTGGACATGATTATCAGGATAGTCTTCTAATACTTCAACCAAACAAACAGTTTCCTTTCTTCTTTTTCCTTTAAGAAGAACTGTCTCTCCTCTGAATAATTCGAGTTCAGTAGATTTATTGAGTGAAATATAAACTGTACAAATGCTATCTCCAACTTTATCTGCTGGAATATCATCACAAACCAATCTGTTTGGAGAATCTTTCTGGTCAAACATACTTGCTTCTTTTGGTTGTTGACTAAACAAAATAAATTTTTATTCAACTAAGAAAATAAATATGATTAACAAACGCCATAATAAATTGACTTTCTTAGTTCATCTTTTTTCTTTTTATTTCAAACCTCAATAACTTCTTTTGCCAATAACAAAGTTTTATCTCTTCATCAAAAAGAGAAAAAACCTCAGAACAATTTCAAGTTCTACTTCATTTCATATTTTTTCTCATTAATAACAGAATTTTTAATGATTTTTTATGTTATATAAATCAGATTTTTAGCTTATAAATTATGCCATTTGAAGAATAATGTTTTTTCATTTTATTTTTAAGATCTCATATTGTTCTATGTTCTTCTGGATAATCTTTATTCATCTTTCATTTGCAAATACATGTAACCAGGCTATACCTTTAGAATTCTATAATGATGATAATAGATTTAGTTTTATCCAACAACCACTCACACAAGAATTAATAATGTCATATCCTGGATGTGGAGACCGTGAGAACAGAGTAACAACATGGTACAGAATAGAAAATAAAAGAAATACACCACTTCAGATACAGGTAACTGGTACTTCAAACATAGTAACTAATCATGCCAAATATGTTTATGTTATGCATAAAATGCACTTAAGAGTATCAAGTGAATGTCCAACGTCAATATCTTCAATGGGATGTGTTGCACAACTAACTACTTCATTGAGAACTTCAAATATAACATTTAATGTACCACCAAATGGTCATGTTTTTCTTGCCACATACGAATTTCTTAATAACATAGAAGTACAAAGTCATTTATTTTTACAAATTAAGCCATTAATAAACAATGCCTCTAGTTGCCAGAAGGCTGATGAAGTTATTTTCCCGTTAACACAAAATGTAGTTGTTAAAACTACTGACTTAATTAATAATGTTCAAAAGAAAGGTCAGTGGCATCGAATAGCTTCTGTACAACCAGGAGAGCGATATATAATTGACACTTGTAGTAAACGTACTACGAAACCAACTACGTTTCATCTTTTTTCATCTTGTAATAGGGATAGAATAGAAGAAGGGTATTTAAGGTCTTGTAGAGATGGAGTAGGTTCTATTGTTATTTTAAATCCATCAAAAACATATTCTCCTGTATTTTTATTTGTTGAAACAGATGGAGACCATTATGATATTCACTTCCAAAAGACAACAAAGAAATCTGCAAAAGAAGCTTGTAGTGGAGCTGTTCACATTCCATATATTCCATATACTATATTCTCGATTCCATTTGCTCAATACCCCTTATTTATTAACCCATGTTTATCTGTTAGAGATGAATTAAGTACAGCATTTTTTGGAGTTACTGTACATCCAAATCATGAAATAACGATGATGACATGTGGATCTCAAATAGACACTTATTTGACTGTAGTTGATTCTTGTGATGGAAAGTGTCTTGAAATAAAACAAAGAAGTTGTCCAGGAGGAAAAATATATACTTATACTCCTTCAATTAAAGAAGGACATTCAATCATTGTACAATTATCAGAATATAAGAAAGAAACTTTTGGTAGGGCCAGATTAGTCTTTAAAGAAAAAGAAATAGGAAAGAAAAGAGATGATGAAATTCATATTGGAGCACCAATCCGTCCACGTCTAAACAAACCAAAGAATATTCAAAATAAAATAAATGATCAAGAAAATATCATTTCTCATCAAATCAACCAATCAAACCAAAATCATTTTCTTTCTATTGTCATTGTAATTTTCATTGGATGTGCGTTTTTATTGGGAGTAGCATATTTTTTAACTCGAGACCGTCACCAGGCACAATACATTCCTCTTTAATTCAATTAGTTTCAAGGCATTTTTAAATTGTTTTGTTAATAAATCAGAAGGGTAATTAACCAATAACCTTATTTTATTTACTTCTTTTAATAAAAAAGAACTTAAAAATGCGTTATTTATTCATTTAGATTAATGGCTTGGAACGAAGTGGCACTTACTAAAAACAGAGAAGAAAAAAGAAAAGAGCTCGATGAGGTAGAATCTTTTTGGACTTCAGAGCAGTTATTTTCTAATACGATTTCATCACTTTTTAAAAGAATAAATGAAGAAGTTAATCATCGTACACAAGAGTTAGAGAAGTTATTGTATAAAAATAATAGTGGGTGGTTAAGTTTGTATTTTTATTATTATTTATTTTGTTGTTAATTCAATAAAGTAACGATTTGTATAGATACAAAAATGTTAACCCAATTTATTAGTGCTCTAAGATATATCGCTAATGATTTTGAATTATTTTCTGATCACTTTAAACAAACATCTTTAGTTACTACAGAACTCTTTAGTAATATAACAGACCTTCAAATATTAATGTCTAAAGATGGGATTCAAGAAGAACAGTTATTTTCACAACTTCATTCATTTAATCAACATTTATCTGTTATGACCCCAAATTTCTTTCTTGATTTCTATAAGACATTTAAAATATTCTTTAGTCTTGGAAATACATTCTTTAGTGACAACCCTTTTATTTCTGATTTAGAAAAATTGGTTCAAGAATCTATTGATGCGTCTAAAGCTGTTGGTAATTTCATTCCTTACACTGGAAGAACAATTAAAGAAATATTGATATCGGAAAATAGAACTATGGACCAACTTCCAAAGGCACTTGTAATTATCTTTGAATGTATGTATAATAAAGGGTGTTTTTGTAAAGGAATATTTCGTGAGAGTTCTAATGCATCCATAAGACAAATAGAAGAATTATGTATGAGAATGAGTGTAACAAATTTTAATGAAATACCATGTGATGTTGTTGCAAGCGTCTTTAAGAAATTTCTGAGAAATTTACCTATTCATATTTTTGATAGAATAACCACAAAGAAAATATTTCAAAGATGGATTGAAATCATCGACGCTCAAATAGATTCAAAAATAATAGTTTACGAAGTTAAAGACTTAATTCAATGTCTTCCTCCTGAACATATGACAGTATTTAAAGAAACAATGAAATTATGTTATAAAATTGTTTGTCATTCAGAAATTAATTCAATGAATGCAAAAAATCTTTCTGTTTGTTTATCAACAAATCTCATGACTTTAAGTGAATTTGATCAACTTCCATTAAATGGTGATTCAAAAAATGAATATTCACTGTGTATTGATTTTATTCGATTTTGTATTTTGTCATTCACTAGTTTGTTTCCTCAAGACATTGACCCTGTAGTAACAAAACGAGCAAACTTCTTAGGTGAAAGAAAACCTCAACAAATTAATCGTAATACTCTAACTCAATCTCCATCAACTGAAACTCCAATTCAAGCTCCTAACTCAAATACTTTAGCAATGAAAATACCAGAGAAACAAGAGATTAATAATACTATTAACATTATTCCAGTTGACGAAACACCAGAAACTACTGATTCGATGTCAGACTTTATGATTCAACCAAGAACAAAAAAACGTCAAAATAGATTATCTAATAAACTTTTTAACCAAATAGAAGTCAATGAAAATGGTTCACCAGTACATACGCAAATTAGAAAAAATAAAAAAATATCTGATGACAAAGTTACTCCAATTTCAATGAAAAATTTATTTGATAAGACTCAAGTCCAAGAAATAACAGAATCTAATGAGTTCAATGGTAACACATCAACTAATGAAATGTTACTAACTGTTCCGATAAATTCTGAACCAAATCAAGACACAAAACAAAAAATAGATATACCAGAATATCAACCCTCAAGACAAAGTAATTTAACTAGTCCAAGAACACAACTGTTTGCTCCAAGAGTTAGTAAAGTTGTTTTTGGACAACGGAACACTTTAGGGTCAAGCCGTGTAACTATTGACCAACAACAAATGAAAGAAAGATTTTCAAGTGTTGAACAAGAAGACCAAATTGTAAATAACAACCAACTATCACCACTAATAACTCATACAAATCAGTCAAAAAGGCCTGGCTCTTTTGTTTCAAAAAGGTCTGGACTTACTTATGGTTCTAGAAATACTATTCAATTAAGCACTGAATTACAAAAAAGTACAAAAGAAGAAATTCAACTAATAAACCATCCTAATGAAATAGTTAGTTCTAAAGATAAAGAAACACCTCATCAAACGGAAGGTAGCAATCAAACTCCAGTACAAATAACTGTCCTTCCTTATATCCCTATTTCACCAAAACAACCAGGGTTAAGTTCAAGCAGGGTCACTTCTAGATTTATAAGTAAGAAAGAAGAAGCAAATCGACTAACAGTAGGAACAGAATTTCCAGAAAAAGAATTATCTCATGAAGGTATTGAAACAATGATTCTTGGTGAACAAGACCAAAGTAATTTGGATGAGTTCAAGGAAGTGACTCAAAAAGCTGTAGATGATGAAAAAATTCAACATATACTAGAAGAGCGTGAGAAAGAAAAACAAATAGAAAAAAGCTTGTATAGAACAAATGATGTAACAAATAAAGTGATACAAGAGAGAGTAGAAATTCATTACAGCGATATTGCAGAAGAGAGAGACTGTGATAAGGTAAATGAAATATATGAATACTAATTGATCAAAATGTTTGTTATGAATTAAAGAAGATTTATTGTTCAAAAAGTTTTTAGGCAACAACAAAAAAGAAAAATTAGTTAATAACCAATATGATGAATTATTTAATCCATTACTCCCTTGAATTTTTCCATAATTTTAAAAGGATTTACATGGGATTTACAGTGAAATCAAATTATAATACGATAAGATGACGTGGTAAGAAAAGTTGGAAAGAAAGAAATGAACCCTGAGAAACCCTATGAACTATTTAAAGAATTTGTAAGAATTTAGAGTTCATTCAAATAATAATGCAAAGAGTATATGCTTTCGAAGATGGTGATGGAACCAACAAGAAACTTCTTGGAGGAAAGGGTGCTGGACTTTGCACAATGACAAAAATTGGACTTCCAGTTCCACAAGGATTTGTTATTACAACAGAAATGTGTAAACAATTCATTGCTAATGGAAATAAGATGCCAGAAGGATTAATGGAAGAAGTTAAAAAGAATATGCAATTAGTTGAAAAGAAATCAGGAAAAGTATTTGGAGGAGATGAAAATCCACTTCTTGTTTCAGTCAGATCAGGAGCTGCTATGTCTATGCCAGGTATGATGGATACTATTCTTAATCTTGGACTTAATGATAAAACTGTTGTTGCTCTTGCTAAATTAACCAACAATGAAAGATTCGCATATGATTCATACAGAAGATTTGTTTCACTCTTTGGAAAGATTGCTCTTAATGTTGATGATGAAGTTTATGACAAGACTCTTGAAAATAAAAAAATTGAAAAGGGAGTTAAATTAGATACAGAATTAGATGCTAATGATATGAAAGAACTTGCACAAGTTTTCATTAAAAAGACAGAAGAATTCACTAAACAACCATTCCCAGTTGACCCATATGCTCAATTAGAATTTGCTATTTGTGCTGTTTTCAGATCATGGATGGGAAAGAGAGCTGTTGATTACAGAAGAGAATTCAAAATTACTCCAGAACAAGCTGATGGAACTGCTGTTTCAGTTGTTTCTATGGTTTATGGTAATATGGGTAATGATTCAGCTACTGGTGTTTGTTTCACTAGAGATCCAGGAACAGGAGAAAATATGTTCTTTGGAGAATATCTTAAGAATGCACAAGGAGAAGATGTCGTTGCTGGTATTAGAACACCACAAATTATTTCAAAGATGGCAGAAGATGCTGATCTTCCAGGTTGTTATGAACAACTTCTTGATATTAGAAAGAAATTAGAAGGATACTTCCATGAAGTACAAGATTTTGAATTCACTATTGAAAGAAAGAAACTTTACATGCTTCAAACTAGAAATGGAAAGATGAATGCTACTGCTACTGTTAGAACAGGAGTTGATATGGTTGAAGAAGGACTTATTACAAAAGAACAAGCTATTATGAGAATTGCACCACAATCAGTTGATCAATTACTTCATAAGAATATGCCAGCTAATTATTCAGAAGCACCATTAGTTAAAGGACTTCCAGCATCACCAGGAGCTGCTACAGGAGCTGTTGTTTTCGATGCAGATGATGCAGTTGAACAAGCTAAAGGAAAGAAAGTTCTTCTTCTTAGAGAAGAAACCAAACCAGAAGATATTCATGGATTCTTTGTTGCTGAAGGTATTTTAACATGCAGAGGAGGAAAAACATCACATGCAGCAGTCGTTGCTAGAGGTATGGGTAAACCATGTGTCTCAGGAGCTGAAGGAATTAAAGTTGATGTTGCTAAGAAAGTAGCTAAGATTGGAACTCTTGAAGTTCATGAAGGAGATATTTTGACCATTGATGGATCAACTGGATGTGTCTATAAAGGAGAAGTTCCATTAGAAGAACCACAAGTTGGGTCAGGATATTTCGGAACTATCTTAAAATGGGCCAATGAAATTAAAAAGATTGGAGTATTTGCAAATGCTGATCTTCCATCAGCAGCTAAAAAAGCACTTGAATTTGGAGCTGAAGGTATTGGACTTTGCAGAACTGAACGTATGTTCAATGCAGTTGAAAGACTTCCAATTGTTGTCAAGATGATTCTTTCAAATACACTTGAAGAAAGAAAGAAATATCTTAATGAACTTATGCCACTTCAAAAACAAGATTTCATTGGATTATTGAAGACTATGAATGGACTTCCAGTTACAGTCAGACTTCTTGATCCACCATTACATGAATTCCTCCCAACTCTTGAAGAGTTAATGAGAGAAATCTTTGAAATGAAACTTTCAGGTAAGACTGAAGGACTTGCAGAAAAAGAAGTTGTTCTTAAGAAAGTTAAAGAACTTATGGAAGTTAATCCAATGATTGGACATAGAGGAATTAGACTTGGAACTACTAATCCAGAAATTTATGAAATGCAAATTAGAGCATTCTTAGAAGCTACTGCAGAAGTTATTAAGGAAGGAATTAAGACACATGCAGAAATTATGATTCCAAATGTTACAGAAGTTAATGAACTTATTAACTTAAGAAAGAATGTTCTTGAACCAGTTCATGAAGAAGTTGAAAAGAAATATGGTATTAAAGTACCATTTATGTATGGTACTATGGTTGAATGTGTTAGAGCAGCATTAACAGCTGACAAGATTGCTACTGAAGCATCATTCTTCTCATTCGGAACTAATGATCTTACTCAAGGAACCTTCTCATACTCACGTGAAGATTCAGAAAACAAATTCATTCCAAAATATGTTGAACTTAAGATTCTTCCAGCTAATCCATTTGAAATTCTTGATAGACCAGGTGTTGGAGAAGTTATGAGAATTGCTGTTACTAAAGGAAGACAAACAAGACCAGAATTACTTGTTGGTATTTGTGGAGAACATGGAGGAGAACCATCATCAATTGAATGGTGCCACATGATTGGATTGAACTATGTTTCATGTTCTTCATACAGAATTCCAGTTGCTAGAATTGCTGCTGCTCAAGCCCAAATTAGACATCCAAGAGATAATTAAATTAACTTTTTTGGTTTAAATAAATTTTTTTTGTTATGATATCAATAAATTATGTTATAATTATTTAAAATAAAATGATTTATTAAAATAATAAATTATTTTCTTTTTTTATCAACACTCTCTTCAGATATCATTTCATTATGGTTTTGATAAATAAAACAATATGCGTCAGCAATAAAATTACTAGCAACATACGCATAAAATGCTGGAGTGGGGAAATATTTCCAGTTATACGGTGTGTCCAATGAACCACATATTGCAGAAACAATGATAGATAATAAGACTATAATCGATGGAATAAATAAGAGGTGGTATTCTTCTTTATGTCTGAGAGTTTGTTTGTAGGCGAGAAGTATGAGTGGGCTTGAGTATACACCAAATCCTAAAGAACACATTATCGTCTGAAGGATATGACTTAGAATCCTTGGTTTAAATATGAAAAATGAAATCAATGATACAACAATGCCAATGATAATAGATGATATTTGCTCAATCAGTGAATACGAATTTGGTTTAACTTTGTTAAATGCAATATATGTTAGTAAAGGTTGGATGATAACATTTGTGATTCCGAATATTAGATATTCAAACAATGGTTCATATTGTGGTTCAATACCTCTTTCTCCTTTTGTAGGATGACCAAATATAGCAAGAAGATAAGGGACAATCAGTAAATGAAATAAAGCACGAATTGCAATGTATTGTGTTGCTTTCATTGAAAGAGAGTATTATTAGTTTTTTGTTTTGTTCTTTTCATCTTTTTTTTTTTAAAAAAACCTTTTGAAAAACATTAATTTATATAAAAATAAATAACAAAAAATTATCTTTTTAAGCTATATTTCAATTGTTCATTAATATGAATATTATTAATGCCTCTATTTATGTTGATTATTCTATTAATCTACTTCATGTACTAAGTCATATCCCTTCTAGAATTGTCCCAGTCAAAATAAAAAATGTACAAGTTAAGGATATTTGTTTGGAAGCTTCAAGAGGATTAGTATCTTTACTCTCATACCCATCTAATATAACTTATATTGGAATTTGTGTTTCATCAAACGCTATTGCTATTAGAGATCCTATTCGTTTACTATATGCAGAAGGTTCAAGTGTATTAAATCAATTTGATATGTTACTCACTACATTTCAAAAATTACCAAAAACACCAACTGGTAATATTGTTCTTTCCTCGTTAAGAATTCATTACATTAATTACATTGAATTATTCCTCAAAAATAATAATGGGATATTTTGTATAGAATTGGATGGGTCAATCACACACTCCATCCCTCAATGTCCAATTGTTTATTGTGGAACTTTTAATCCATTTCATAAAGCACACAAAAAGATTATTGAATATATGTCAATGAGATTTACTCATCGACCTATTATTTTAGATATCTCACAGAGAAGTGAAGACAAGTCAGTTACCTCTTTGACTAATACATTTATTAGGGCTTCACAAGTTGCTGGTATTTACAAGGTAAATATTTCAAATACTTCACTTTATATTGACAAGTGCAAGAATTATCCTGGGGGTACATTTGTTGTTGGATTAGATACTGCAGTCAGAATTCTAAATAAGAGGTACTATCAAAATAGTGAAATCAATTTAAAAAAGGCAATGCACACTATTGCAGATATGGGTTGTAATTTTATTGTTGTTGGAAGAAAAGATGACACTACAAATAAATTCTTAGAATTTGATTTTGTTAAGTCAACACTTCCTGCAAAGGAATATCATTATCTCTTTATCTCTCTTAATGAAAAAGAATTTAGATATGACCTATCATCAACTTATCTCAGAGCCAGAGGGACTGTTTTAAATAAAAACATATTACCAAAACTTTAATAGAATCTAATGCAATTCATGTTTTAGTTTTTGTTTTATAAGAGAATAAACGACTAAGAAAAATTAATAGTGATATAACCTCAAAATTAAGATATGGATTCTGTATTTTCCTATGGAAAATTGGTGAGTTGGAGAATATAGATAAACAAATAAGAAATTCATTGAAATAACTCCAACTATACAGTAGAAACATCAATAAAAGTAGATTATATGTTACAATAAATGAATTAGGAATGTGATTAATGTCAGCACGAGATGAATATTGTAAGGAATTAAGATATATTTAAAATATAAATATCAAATACAGAAATATGAGAAATGATAGAAATAGTAAAAGAGAATCCAAATGGAATAATTAAAAGAATGAAGAGAACATTTGATAAGAAGATTAATTTCAATGAATTAACATAATACAGATAAATGAAATAAAACATGATGAAAGCAAAGTATTTGAATGGGTAACAAATAAAATAAATGAAAGATATTTAAATGAATGGAAAGAAATGAAATGTAGTGAATATATAAGAAATGTAAATTGTATATTTAATAATATGAAATTAACAGTAGCCACATGGAGGTCATTAAATATAAAAAGAAATGCATTCCTCCAAGTAGTAAAGATACAAGAAGGAGTAACTATGACAGGAATTATTAATTCTAAAATACTCCATTCTGATGTTTTAAAATATTGTAAACATTGTCCTATCACAATTCCATCTATTAGCCATATTTTGTTATAATGTAATGAAGAAGAATCAAATATCAAAACATGAAATGTATGTAATCAATTATATAAACATATATTATTTACCCATTTTAATGAATTTGATGAAATAGATTTTAATGCCCCTCCTAAGTGTATTAATAATAATGAAATGGTTATAACTTACAATAAAGATTTATTTGTTAATGACCATTCTTTTAATGCTAGAAGACCAGATATATATTATCAAATCATTAAAGAAAAAATTGATATATTAATGATGTCGATATTTGTCAAGATAGAAACATTGAATTAAATTATATTTACAAAATAAATAAATACAAAGAACTACAAGAGAAGCTAAGACAAAGGAGAGAATTAACTTATGTAGAAATAATACCTGTAATATTATCAATAAATTAATACATAAAGAATCAGTAAGAAAATTGAATTCACTAAAATTACAAATTGACTTCCCCAAAATACTACGAACAATCATTATTAAAAACATGAAAGACTTAATGTTCTACATATTTAACACTGGCAACACATTAGAAGAGGAACCTTCTAATTCTCATATCTTAGAAATGAGTTCTGTTGTAGAAATAGAGCATATTGAAGAAACTGAAACAATCACTTCTCAATATGAAGAAAATCCAATTATGGATTTATCTATTAATTGATATTTTTTTTTATAAGAGAATAAACGACTAAAAACATTAATGTTATTTTGTATTCGATTCTAGTTTCTTATTAATTAAATGATAAAATAATTTATTTTCATACAAAATAAACTATAAAGAAATTAAAAAGTATTTCTTTATGGAAGAAGAGAATAGAAAAATGCTTATTAACAACGAAATAGAACAACGTACTAGATTTGTTGAGCTTCATGACTCTATGGGTGATGGGTTAATTTCTCGTATTAATGAACGTATTCAACAATTGAATGAGCAAGAACAAAAGACAGTATTTGGAATCATTGGAAGTTATCAACAAAATATATTGGTTGATGTTAGTTTTAAAAAAGAAATGTTGATAGAATTAAAAAATATTCCTGTAGAGGTAGTTTATCGTGTGTGGAGGTATTTGGAACAATTAAATTGATTTTTATGATTTTTTTGTTTAAAATCTTTTTAATTTTATCACTTTATAATGTTTAGAAATAAACCGAATTCACTTGATCAGTTCTTTCTTCCTAAACAAAAGAAAGAATCAACAATAACTAATAATGTAGAAGCTCAAAAAGAAAAATCACCACAAGAGATAAGACCAACTTATATTCCATTAGCTGAAAAACAACGACCAAAAAATTTAGAAGAGATAATTGGACAAGAAGATGTCCTTGCAATTGGAACGCCTTTTAATACAATGATTAAAAATGATAAGATTCAATCCACTATTCTCTACGGACCTCCTGGCTGTGGTAAAACAACAATTGCAGGTATTATTAAAAATAATAGTAAATCCACATTTGTCTCCATGTCTGCCGCTACAAGTAAAAAAGAAGATTTTAAGAAAGTACTTAATGATGCTAAACACCGGAAACGTCTGGGAATGAACACTATTTTATTTCTTGATGAGATCCATAGTTTAAACAGATTGCAACAAGACACATTTTTACCTGCTATAGAAAGTGGAACTATTATTCTTATTGGTGCAACTACTGAAAACCCATCATTTGAATTAAACAATGCTTTAATGAGTCGTTGTCAACTTGTGACATTAAAGAAATTAACTGATGAAAATGTCGTTAAAATATTGAGAAAGGCTATTGATGAGGAATATTATTATTCAAAGATTGATATTGATAATGAAGGACTTCATTTTATTGCAGCTATTTCTGATGGAGATGCAAGAAATGCATTAAACACATTAGAAAAAGTGTTTGTTCACTATAACCTCATGAATGAAAAGGTTTTAAAAAATGAAATTAATGAAAAAGGTGGAATAGATATTGAGGTAAAAGAACTAGAAGAAAAAGTTAAGAAAGGAGAGATTAAAGTATTAAGAATTAATGGAAAAATTGTCTCTATTATTGATAATAAAAACGAAAAACAAAAAATAGAAGAAGTTGAGAAAGAGATAGACAAAACAGATTCAGTCATAACTATTTCTGATGAGATTAGTGATGTAGTTATGATTCAACCAGAACCAAAAGATACAATTCAAAAAGAAAGAGATGCTCATGATGAAAATAATAACTCTAATATAACAAAAATAACTAAACCAAATGAAAACTTAGAAATTAAAAAAGAAGAGAAAAAGTATATTTTAACATATAAACTTATTGAAAATTATTTACAAAGAATTATTTACCAACCTAAAAATCAAGGAGAAGATCATTTCAAGGTTTTAAGTGCTTTTCAAAAAAGTATCACTCATTCAGATGAAGAAGCAACAATATATTGGTTACAAAGATTGATAGAAATGGGAGAAAATCCAAAGTATATAGTGAGAAGAATGATTAAAATATCTAGTGAAGATATTGGACTTGCAGATGTAGAGGCATTAAACATTGCGATTAAAACTTTTCAAATTGTTTCTTCTTTAGGATATCCAGAAGCAGATACTGCATTATATGAATGTGCTCTATATTTAGCTAGAGCACCAAAGTCATGTGCAGTCTTTGAAACAATGAAATATACTGAAGAAATTATAAAACAGACGGGTTCGTTACCAGTCCCACTTCATATCAGAAATGCACCTACTTCGTTAATGGAGAGTATGGGATATTCTATTGGTTATAAATATCCACCAAATTATAATGAAGTTTTAGATCAGACTTATCTCCCAGAAAAACTAATTAACACAAAACTAGTTTTTTATGACCGTTTTGTTAAGCCTATTAATAAAGATGATATTATAATGAAGACAGAAGAAAATGATATAAATTCTGTAGAAATTCAACGAAGTTATCAATTTAGAAATTTTGATGTCGATTATTACAAAGATACAAAAGATATAACTCAAATTGTTAATAATTAATTATTGTTTAACTAGGAATTTTGGTATTACTTAGATTTATTATTTTAGGTAATACAATTTCATTAATCATTGAGATTGATTCCATCACAAAAAGTTTATCTAATTTTAATTTATTTTCTTTTTTGTTTTTCATAATAAAAAAGAGATTCTTTTATTTTTTTTATAAAGAAATGTGATTAGAAAATGACTAATCTTTATTCACCATTACTCAAGTCAATGAATATCAGTTTTATTTGAAAAAGAGACAATAGTTTGAAAAGTACTAAGCTTTATTTATTCTTGTTCAAATGAATTAAATTCAAAAAGATTTTCTTTTGGTTTTGATATTATAAAAGAACTAAAAAAATTACAAGTAAAATGAGTAATTTGGAGAGTGTGTATTTGAAGAACGTTGTATTTTATTTCATAGATATCAAAACCATTAAAAAGTTTTGTTTTATTTCTAAAAGATGTCAAGAAGCAGTTATAAGTGTTTATCATCATCCTTATAAATTAAGTAAAGAAACAACAATATATGATATTTTTAATTTATTTCCAAAAGTTGAGACAATAAGAGTGAATTCATTTCATGATGAAATAACAAAAACAGTATTATCAAAAGTAAAATTAATAGATTTTCAGAATATAAGAAATTCACTTTATCTACAGCAATTTATGAATAAAACATTTCTTTCAAAAG